TACCCCAGAACTTAAAGTATAATTTTAAAAAAGGAAATGGAGATATTATTTAAAATTTTTTAAAAAGCATTTGTCATAGGTCAGTTAGAAGTAAGTATTAATAAATGCTGTAGTTTAAATACAGGATGAAGCTTTTCACATTATGTTCAAGAATCTAAGTCTTTTCTGTCAGTCTCTTGTGTGTACCGCATTAGTTTCTCTCATATACTAAAATTCTATGATAGTTACAGTTATTGCTTAATTAATCCCCTGGAATGTGCTAGGCATTGTACAAGATTTTGGAAAATCAAAGAAGATAAAGCATAGACACTGTCCATTAGAAGTTTGTAATTTAAAGGTAACTATGATTACAGTGTACTAAGTGTGACAGTAGAGGTTAGGAATAAACCATAGAGTTTGAGCACAGGTAAAGGAAGCCCAAAATGAATCAGAGGAGATTAAATTTGGCTGGGTTCTGGAGAATCAGTAGTGGGTTTCCAGATACCTGTGGTGTGGAAGGACATTGAAGACAGAGGTTATGGCTTGTGGAAAGGCATAGGGTCACTGAAATATGCTGTCTATTGGAAAAAGAATAGGGTCTTCTGAGATTGTCACAGGTGAATATCAGAGGAAAAGAAGGTAGAACCCCAAACTGAAGGTTTTAATGTGTCTTGTAGCAAGTTTTACTTTATCCTCTAGGTAAGAGGGAACATCATATCTGTTACTTTTAAAACAACAGTAACTAGAGAAATCTCCTTTGCAGTGGGTTATTTTTTAAGCAAGTTGGACATTTGGAATAGGAAGAAACAAAAGGAGAAAACCCAATTTTATATCAAGGAAGGGACAATGAAAGCTAAAATAATTTGGTGAACAGCTTAAAGAGAGATTTTAAGGTAGAATCTATAGGACATGTATGAATGGAGAAAAATCAAAGACGAACCTAAAGTTACTAGACTCGGTGATACAGAAATTGAAGTCATTTTATACTTTCAGTATGGGTTTATTCAGAGACAATTCCATGTGCATATCTAAAGCCATACCTCTATATTTTGAGTATGGATTAGTTAACAGTGTAGACAAGGTTAAAAATTCATACATGAAAAAAAATTAGGCATGCTGGTAAATTAATGATAAAGTACTGAAGCAGGTCACCAGTTTGACACTATGATCACACAGACTCATAGAATGTTAACACTGGAAAGTCTTTCATGTGCATCTATTGTGTTGGGATTTTTAAAGGAATTTTAAAAATAACTTATAATGGCCGGGTGCGGTGGCTCAAGCCTGTAATCCCAGCACTTTGGGAGGTCGAGAGATCGAGACCATCCTGGTCAACATGGTGAAACCCCGTCTCTACTAAAAATACAAAAAATTAGCTGGGCATGGTGGCACGTGCCTGTAATCCCAGCTACTCAGGAGGCTGAGGCAGGAGAATTGCCTGAACCCAGGAGGCGGAGGTTGTGGTGAGCTGAGATCGCGCCATTGCACTCCAGCCTGGGTAACAAGAGCGAAACTCCATCTCAAAAACAAAAACAAACAAACAAAAATAATAATAACTTATAATGTATTAACATTTTTGTCAAAGGAATCAGAAAGAGAACATCTAATTCTTTTATTATTATTATACTTTAAGTTCTGGGATACATGTGCAGAACATGCAGGTTCATTACATAGCTAAATGTGTGCCATGGTGGTTTGCTGCAACCATCAACCCATCATCTAGGTTTTAAGTGCATTAGGTATTTGTATATACCCACGTGTATTAGGTATTTGTCCTAATGTTCTCCCTCCCCTTGTCCCTACCCCCCTACAGGCCCCAGTGTGTGATGTTCCTTCCCTGTGTCCATGTGTTGTCATTGTTCAACTCCCACTTATGAGTGAGAGCATGAGGTATTTGGTTTTGTGTTCCTGTGTTAGTTTGCTGAGAATTATGGTTTCCAGCTTTATCCACCTCCCTGCAAAGGACATAAACTCATTTTTTTTAAGGCTGCATAGTATTTCATGGTGTATATGTGCCACATTTTCTCTTTCCAGTCCATTGATGGGCATTTGGGTTGGTTCCAAGTCTTTGCTATTGTGAATAATGCTGCAGTAAACATATGTGTGCATGTGTCTTTGTAGTAGAATGATTTATCATCCTTTGGTTATATACCCAATAATGGGATTGCTGGGTCAAATGGTATTTCTAGTTCTAGATCCTTGAGGAGTCACCACACTGTTTTCCACAATGTTTGAACTAATTTACACTCTCACTAACAGTGTAAAAGCATTCCTATTTGTCCACATCCTCTCCGGCATCTGTTGTTTCCTGACTGCTTAATGAGAGAACCTCTAATTCTTAAGAAACCCAGACAAATTAAAAATCTATATAATACAATGAAGAAAAATTCAATTTAGAAAGGGCATAAGCAGATTTAACTAAGATTTAAAGTATACTGATTTCCTCATTTAAAATTTCTTCTCCTTCAGTATTATAATTTCAGGTCTCTTAAAACAAGGGCTGAATTAAAATACAGAAATTATTTTTCTTCTAGAAATCAGGTGTCCCTGCATCTTAAATTTTCCATACAGTTCCATTTATCAGTCCTGTGTGCAGGAGTTAGCAATTCATGGCACAAGGGTCAGTTCTTGCCTTTCTTTGCAGAGTTGATGGCGTTCATCAAACCTCATCTGAATTCCTCACGTATCATCCGTTCAGCTGCTGCCTTTGAGTTTCCCTTCTTGTCTGCATGCTTTTCCTGGGCTTTAAAGGAATTTTTTAAAGCAGCATGATAGTTTTAGACTAACCAGTTGGTTAAGAAAATATAAGATAAAAAGCAATTATTGAAAGCATTGTTCAGTGTTCTATTTAATCACAGAAATATCTACATATATTTGAAAAACAGTGACACACATGTGAGTCTGCAGATAATATATCACATGGTGGTTAAGAGCTCAGGCTGTGGAGTCAGAACCCAGTTTGAATCCATAGCTTACTATCTTTAACTTTAGACAAGTTGCCTACATATCAGTGCTTCAGTTTTCTCATCTGTAAAATATGAATAACTCATAGATCTGTCATATAGAATATAAATAAGTTAGTATATTTGAAAGGCCTAGAAGAGTACCTAGCACATTGTAAGTACCATTTAAAGTATTGGCTGTTATTATGATGGTGCTATCTGGTGTAACCTATGCAGTAATTCAGAGACCTTATCCTTATTCTGGTAAATGGCTGTTGGGACCTTTGAATAGATACCATTTTTAGAAATTTTTGTTCAGTTTTACTGCACCCTCTTTGAGATCTCTGCCCACCTCCTGCTGACACATACTTTGGAGTTATTAATCCCTGAGCCACTTCGCCTGGCTTTTTAAAAATTTCTGTAGCTCCTGTTATTGAGCATGAGTGTGTACATGAATGAATAAATAATATGACATTTTCAAAATAATTCATCTTTTTTTAGTTTTGTTTTGAGAAATCTTTTCCTACACTGAGATCTGTATTTTCTTCTACACGTTTTAAAGTTAGTCTTTTATGGCCGGGCGCAGTGGCTCACGCCTATAATCCCAGCACTTTGGGAGGCTGAGGCGAGTGGATCATGAGGTCAAGAGATCGAGACCATCCTGGTCAACATGGTGAAACTCCGTCTCTACTAAACATACAAAAAATTAGCCGAGCATGGTGGTACGTGCCTGTAGTCCCAGCTACTCGGGAGGCTGAGGCAGGAGAATTGCTTGAACCCAGGAGGCGGAGGTTGCCGTGAGCCGAGATCGTGCCATTGCACTCCAGCCTGGGTAACAAGAGCGAAACTCCGTCTCAAAAAAAAAAAAAGTTAGTCTTTTACATTCAGGTCTGTAATTTACCTGGAATTAATTTTTTCTTTTTTTTTTCTTTTTTTTTTTTTGAGACAGTGTCCCACTCTGTTGCCCAATCTGGGCTTGCTGTGGCATGATCACAGCTCACTGCAGCCTTTACCTCCTAGGTTCAAGAGATTCTCCCACCTCAGCCTCCCGAGTATCTGGAACCACAGGCACGTGCTACCACGTCCAGCTAATTTTTAAATATTTTGTAGAGACAGGTCTCACTATGTTGCCCAGGCTGGTCTCAAACTCCTGGGCTCAAGCAATCCCACTGCCTCAGCCTCTCAAAGTGCTGAGATTACAAGTGTGAGCCATCACACTTTACCTAGAATTAATATTTCTGTTTGGTGTCATTTAGAGATTCACTTGAAATTTTTTTTGCCATGTGGGTATGCCCAGCATCATTTGCTGAATAGTGTTTGTGCTTGTTTGTTTTTAGAAATGGGATCTTGCTCTGTCACCTAAGCTACAGTGCAGTGGCATGATCGGAATTTGCTATACCCTTGAACTCCTGAGCTCAGGAGATCCTTGCATCTCTGCCTTCCAAGTAGCTGGGACTACAGGCATATGCCACTGCACCCAGCTACAATTAAGGGTTTTGAGTAGAGGAGTGACATGATCTGATACAGATTTTTAACAGTAGCTGCTGTGCTGAAAAATATACTGAAAGGTAGCATGAGTGAAAACAGGGATACCAATTATAAGGCAAGAGAGAGATTACAATGACTTTGACCAAGTTGGAAAAAAGGTGGTCAGTTTCTGGATATATTTTGAAGAAAGTTGCAAAAGGATTTGCTGACAGATTAGAGTTGAGATGTGAAAGAAAAAGAAGAGTCCAAGAAGGTACCATGTGGGTTTTTTTGACCAGAGACTCTAAGAGGGGAAAGATTGAGCTTAAAGCAGATTTGTGGGGAAATTCTAGCAGTTCTATTTTCAACATGTCAGCAAAGCCCATCACATGTCCAAGAACAGATTTGAATAAGCAAATTGAATATCTAAATTTGGAGTCTAGGAAAAATGTCTTCATGTGAAGATTGTATTTAATGCTGTTCAGTACCCTACTCTCATCAACACAATATACTCAATAAGACTTTATTTTTCCTTAGACAGATTTAAAATTACTAACTTAACCTTCCCCTTCCCCCAAAGAGAATAAATATATTAATTTTCTGGGATTTTAGGATCTTCAAGATGAAGTTCAAAGGGAGAATACTAATCTGCAAAAACTACAGGCCCAGAAACAGCAGGTACAGGAACTCCTCGATGAACTGGATGAACAGAAAGCCCAGCTGGAGGAGCAACTCAAGGAAGTCAGAAAGAAATGTGCTGAGGAGGCCCAGCTGGTAATGTCTGGCCATTTTCTGCTGCCTGCATCTACATATTAATTGCTTCTCCTGGCTTAAGAGGAAAACATTCCCTACGTTTTGTTGGTAGTGGTAGTGGTTAGCAATCTAGTCAGCATTTGGGTTCATGGGGGAGATGGAGCAAGGTTCATCCAGAAATTACAGGCCCTCTTTAGAGGAAATAGAAGGGCAGTTAATGAACTGGTTTTCCAAATTTTTATTGGAAATATGATGTCTGTACCTTCAACTCTCCTCTATCCCTCCCCCAGTTACCCTTATCTACCAAAACCACACATCAAAAAACATAATTTTCCAGGCACAGTGGCTCAAACCTGTAATCCCAGCACGGTTGGGAGTCTGGGGCGGAAGAATTGCTTAAGCCTGGGAGTTGGAGACCACCCTGGGAAACATGGAGAAATTCCATCTCTGCAAAAAATATGAAAGCTAGGAGTGGTGGCTCACATTTGTAATCTCATGTACTCTGGAGGCTGAGGTGAGAGGATCACCTGAGCCTGGGGAAGTTGAGCCTGAAGTGAGCTTTAATCATGCCTCTGCACTCCAGCCTGGGTGACAGAGTGAGACTCTGTCTCAAAGACATAAAGCATCAACAACAACAAAAAGAAAACACCATAATAGGGCTGGGTGTGGCTGGGCATGCTTCTGTAGTCCCAGCTATTCAGGAGGATCACTTGAGCCCAGGAGTTTGAATCCAGCCTGGGCAATGCAAGACTCTCTCTGAAAAATTAAATTAAATAAGTTATTTACTATTTCTGTCAAAAAAAAAAAAAAAATCCCACCAAAATAGTAAACTAAACAAATAAATGTATTGCATTTGGGAACATTTTAATGATATCTTTTCTTTTAATCTCCATTTCTTCTTCACTTTCATATTATAGATCTCTTCTCTGAAAGCAGAATTAACTAGTCAGGAATCGCAGATCTCCACTTATGAAGAAGAATTGGCCAAAGCTAGAGAAGAGCTGAGCCGTCTACAGCAAGAAACAGCAGAACTGGAGGAGAGTGTAGAGTCAGGGAAGGCTCAGCTGGAACCTCTTCAGCAGCACCTACAAGATTCACAACAGGAAATTAGTTCAGTAAGTCTTTGTAAAGCAAGAAATATACTCAAATGGATCCTCTGTGTCGTTTAGTCAGTTATACTTTCCAACTTCTGCTCTTTGAACCTCTTGCCTAGTTTACTGTTCATGTTTCAGTCATTTTATACAATAGGTTTTTTGTCACCTGTTACATATTAAAACTATCATACATCTTGTATGTTTATGTGATGATTATCGTTGGAGTGATTAAGAGTGTGGGCTTTGTGGTTAGATGGTCTAGGTTTAAGTACTGGTCTGCCACTTACTAGCTAAATCACCTTAGTATCAGATTCTTCATCTTTAAAATTGAAGGATTAATAAGTACCCTACCCCTTTGGGCCACTATGAGGATAAATGAGGCAAACCTGTGAGACATTTAATATGGTGTGTGGTACATAAATGCTCAATAAGTGTTGCTTATTATATAAACAGTAACCTAGTCTCTTCTGTTTTGTGGTTCTAATTTTGAATTCACATTTGCTAATTTGGAAACTTTTTTTTAGGAAATTGTTTCTTCTGTAGTTAAATGTGCATTGCTATATAGATGGTCTTACATATAAATCCTTTGGTTTTTTATTTCCAGGTTTCCCTACGTGAAGACTAATCTTTTAAAGAATAAGATAGTTAGGGCTGGTCACGGTGGCCTATGCCTGTAATTCTAGCATTTTGGGAGGCCAAGGCAGTGGATCACTTGAGGCCAGGAGTTCGAGACCAGCCTGACCAACATGGCCAAACTCCGTTTCTACTAAAAAATACAAAAATCAGCCAGGTGTGGTGGCGCGTGCCTGTAATCCCAGCTACTTGAGAGTCTGAGGCACGAGAATCATTTGAGCCTCGGAGGCAGAGGTTGCAGTGAGCTGAGATCACACCACTGTACTCCAACCTGGGCAACAGAGTGAGAATCTGTCTCAAAAAATAAAAATTTTTAAAAAAGGATAGTTAGAAAGAAACACAGAGATCATGTAGTCCCTTTCTTGCATTCTGAATATGAACAAACTGAAGCCAAGGAAGTTAACTTTCCCATGGTTACATATTCTTTAAAAGAGCTGCAGTCTAAGATCTGGTTCTTCTAAAACCCAGTTCAGTGTGCTCAGTTATTATATATGATGAAGTCCTTCACTTTTGTACTTGTTTACCCCGTCTTATCTGACAGCTGAGTACCTACGTAATCATTCATCATGCAAGATACACCTTAAGTTCGTATTCTTTATAGTATTTTCTTCATCCTGCCTTTGTTGGGCTTTATATTTCTGTTACAGCAATAATAAGATTTTTCCCTACATATTTGCTTATGTGTCTATCTCCCCTAGCAGACTGACATTTTTGGTCCAGAAACATACACATTTTTTAAAACTCCTATTATTTAGCACAGTTCTTGTCCCAGTGTAGGTACTTACTTTATTAACAGGTAACCTGAAAGAGTTATTGTAGTGAGAATGCTACCAGATGAATGGATATTCTTTAAACTATTTTCTTTTTCTTAATTTCTTTAAAAAAAAATCCAAGTATACTAGAATCTTGAGAGGAATACTTATTGTTAGAAATTATTGAGTCTTTCCTCTAAGTCATGTAGCATTCCCAGAGGATTCTTCTTAAAGGAAGCAAATGTATCCTTGACCAAGTCTACAGGTATAGCCATTTTAATTTTATTTTTTTGAGACAGGGTCTCATTCTGTCACTCTGGAGGGCAGTGGTGTGATCATGGCTCACTGCAGCCTTGACCTCTGAGCTCAAGTGATCTTCCCACCTCAGCCTCCTGAGTAGCTGGGACTACAGGTGCACTCCACCATGCCCAGCTGATTTTTATATTTCTTGTAGAAATGAGGTTTCACTTTGTTGCTCAGGCTGGTCTTGAACTCCTGAGCTGAAGCAGTTCTCCTGCCTCAGCTTCCCAAAATATTGGGATTACAGGCTTTAGCTACCGCACCTAGCCCATCAGGAAGTGGAGAAGGGCATTTTTGTGTTACATGACTTTCTAGTAATAAATTCTATTCTGTATTTTTGCTTTGTGTTGGCAGATACAAATGAAACTGATGGAAATGAAAGATTTAGAAAATCATAATAATCAGTTAAATTGGTGCAGTAGCCCACACAGCATTCTTATAAATGGAGCTACAGATTATTGCAGCCTCAGCACCAGCAGCAGTGAAACAGCTAACCTTAACGAGCATGCTGAAGGCCACAGCAACCTAGAGTCTGAGCCCATAAACCAGGAATCTCCAGTAAGTCTAATACTTTCATAATCAGTCTCCTTGGGCAGATCAAAGTTTTGTTGGCATTTTACATAGTATAAATATGTGACCATGCCTCATCTGAGAACAATTGAGATTTCTTTTTAAGAGGCAGAGAGCGGGTTTTAACTCAACAATTATACATTTTAACTAGTATGAAAATTGTTTTTTTTTTTTTTTTTTTTTTTTTTTTTTTTTTTTTTGTGATGGAGTTTTGCTCTTGTTGCCCAGGCTGGAGTGCACTGGTGCTATCTCGGCTTACTGCAACCTCCACCTCCCAGGTTCAAGTGATTATCCTGCCTCAGCCTCCTGAGTAGCTGGAATTACAGGCATGCGCCACCACACCCAGCTGATTTTTTGTATTTTTAGTAGAAACAGGGTTTCATCATGTTGGCCAGACTGGTCTCGAACTCCTGACCTCAGATGATCCACCAGCTTTGGCCTTCCAAAGTGCAGGGATTACAGTCATGAGCCACTGCGCCTGGCCAGCTGATTTATTTTTTATAGAGCCTGTTTTTAAAATAGTATTTATGTAGAGTAAAACTTTTTTTTAAGTACCCTCACCCAAAACTAAAGTAATTTTTTTTTTTTTTTTTTGAGACGGAGTTTCACTCTTGTTACCCAGGCCAGAGTGCAATGGCACAATCTTGGCTCACCGCAACCTCCGCCTCCTGGGTTCAGGCAATTCTCCTGCCTCAGCCTCCTGAGTAGCTGGGATTATAGGCACGCACCACCATGCCCAGCTAATTTTTTGTATTTTTAGTAGAGACGGGGTTTCACCATGTTGACCAGGATGGTCTCGATCTCTTGACCTCATGATCCACCTGCCTTGGCCTCCCAAAGTCCTGGGATTACAGGCGTGAGCCACTGCGCCCGGCCCTAAAATAATTTTTTATTACGTAGTGTTTAGGACATTTATTTACCAATTATTTGCAGAATACCAACTATGTGCAAGAGTGCTGTATTACATAATATAAGAGCAACATAGACAAGAGACTTTAATCTTTCCTTCAAGCAGCATACGGTGTAGTAGTGTAATGCTGTGTTAAAAGGGCTGTGCTAAAGGAAGTGCAGAATTTTTAGGTAGGACAGTTTGGAGGGGGCTCATAACAGATTTTGTTGGGGAAAGCTTTGCAAGTGAGGTTTGACAAGTGAGAATGGATTACACTCCTGTCAGAGAAAACAGTATTAGTATAGGTACAAGGTAGAATAATACATGCAGCACAGAATCTTGAGAAGTTCTGAAGGATGTCTTGTGATTTTGGAAAGGGTATTGGTAAGAGATGAGGTGCTCCTAGTAGACATCTGCATTACCTCTGTTGCTTATCAAAGTATAGATGTGTATCCTTTTTCCAAACTTGTTGAACTAGTTTCTGGGATAGAGCCAAATATGTATATTTTAAAAACACATCCTGCTGATTCTAGTGGCTCATGCCTGTAATCCCAGCACTTTGGGTGGCAGAGGTGGGTGGATGACGAGGTCAGGCGTTCAAGACCAGTCTAGCCAACATGGTGAAACCCTGTCTCTACTAAACATACAAAGAAATTTTAAAAAATTAAGACACCCTATGGGTGATTGTCACGTGCACCTGGATAAAAATGACTTTTAGGTCAGAAAGTACCAGAAGGTGAGAAATTTGGATTCATCTTAAAGCATTGGGGGACTTATCCTACTGCAATGAATAGCCATTGAAGAATTTTAAGCAAGAAGTGATGTGATTAAACTTTTAGAAATGTGGAAAATGGATTAGAGAGTGAGACTGTATCCACAGAGGTATATTGGAATAGAATAGTCTGTGTGAGAGTTGTTTTAGCCTAAACTTAAGCAGTAACAGGAGGGATAATGAGCAGAAGTTTGAGAGATATTAAAAGTGAAAAGTTAACAGACTTGATTTTATTTAGACAGTGCAGTCATGTATGTATTATACAATATTCTTTCAGCCACAAAAGGCAGATTACTAGGTTATCCTTCAAACACGTAAGGGCTGTATGAATAGATATTGCCCCTACTACTTCTTAAGTCTTTCACCCACTGTTCTAAATGAAGAAGACAATGGGAAGCCACTGAAGGACTTTTAACCAGAAGGGTCACAATCACATCCACATTTTAAAGCTATTAGTTTGGCTATAATAATAAGAAGAGATTGGAAGGGCACGTATTGGAGACAGGAAGGCAGTTGGAAGGAAGACTGCTCTAGTAATTGGAACCAAAGATGATGATACTGTAAGTGATTGATAGTGTCAGTGAGGATGGAGAAGAAGGCAAGGATTTGAAATAGAAGTAGGAGATAGACTGAGCAAGACTTGGAGTCTTATTCCAACTGGGGATTAAAGGTGACCTGAAGGTTTCTGACATCAGTGACTTTGATGCTTGATGACACCATTTCCCTAAAAAAGATTATAGACTGCAGAAAATGGTGCCTCGCAGCTTGGGTAGTCTTACAATCCTGGTGCTCTGGGCTGCTGCCCTGCTCCTTGCTCTGGGCGTGGAAAGGGCTCTGGCGCTGCCTGAGGTACAGAAGCAAGTTTGAGGTCGAGCTGAAGCAGGGTTGATGGCCAGCCGTGCATTGTGCTTGCCTGCGGTTCCCCCTTTCCCTCTGCTGGCCTGCAGCTCTGATTTCGTCCCCGACACTTTACGACCCTGCCCAGCCCGATATGCACCCAGTGTCCCAGGAGTGTGCAAAATTTGTCCAAAGTGGCCCTTTGTCGTAAAATGACACGAAAGCTAATGCTGCATGGCCATTCTACCTGAATCAGAAGGGCACCATCTTGGGGCTAAATCTCCAGAACTGTTCTCTGGAGGACCCTGGTCCAAATTTTCATCAGGCACATACCACTGTCATCATAGACCTGCAAGAAAACTCCCTCAAAGGTGACCTGGTCAACACCTTCTGTGGCTTTACTCAGCTCCAGACTCTGATACTGCCACAAGATGTCAACTGTCCTGAAGGAATTAATGCCTGGAATACTGCCACCTCTTATATAGACAACCAAATCTGTCAAGGCCAAAGGAACCTTTGTAATAACACTGGAAACCCAGAAATGTGTCCTGAGAATGGATCTTGTGTACCTGATGGTCCAGGTTTTTTTGCAGTGTGTTTGTGCTGATGATTTCCACAGATATAAGTATATGCGCCAGGGCTCGTTCCCACTGCTTATGTTCTTCAGGATTCTGGTATCCACCACTATATCCATCTCCATTCTGTTTTAGAGGACCCAACGCTGAAAAGCCAAGACTTCATGAACCACATAGGTCTTACCATTGACCTAAGATCAATCTGATGTATGTTAGCCCATCCAGGGAGCTCTGCTTCCTAGACAGGCATCTTTGGCCAGCGGATTTGCCTCAAGATTGAGGCTGCTATTGGAAGTTGAAAAATTGCACTCCCCTGACATAGACAAGTACCAGTTCCCATTTGTGTTGTTGCCTATAATAACCACTTTTTTCTTTATTTATTATAAATGATAAGAAAATCTTAGAGGTTTTTCTAACCCCAGTGTCAGTAAATCTCTGAGAACTAATGCGTAAAATTCCCTGAAGAAATTGATTGTAATTATCCGTCAGAACTATTCGAAAACTTGCACAGGAGCACTCGCATCTATGTAGTAGGATTTTCCCTTTTCCTGCTTATGTGCTACTATATGCTTAGAAAACCTGGAGGAATGCTTATCAGCGAGGAGTAGTCATCTCTGATGGTGGGATTCTGGGGGAGTTTTTGGCTTTTCTGTTTTCTATAGTGTAACACTTTTATGGTGAGTATGTATTTTTATAATTGAAGAGAATAAAGACTAAAACAAAACAAAAAAAAAGATTATAGAAGGAAAAATTATTTGATGAATACATTCTGCTTGTCTTTTTTTATTTTTAAGTAATTTTTTCTTAGTTTCCTCTGCCAAGTCCAAAAGTATATTGTTAATCTATTTGCATTAATATTTTATTAGGCAAGAAGTAGTCCTGAACTACTGCCTTCTGGTGTGACTGATGAAAATGAGGTGACTGCAGCTGTTAATGAAAAGGTTTGTCCTGAATTCAACAATAACAAGCATTCAAAAGAGGTAAAAATAATTTTATATTTACATTGAGAGTCATAAGGGTGGAAGGATAGGAGGAAGTGAATGATCAGACATTACTTAATGGGTACAATATACATTATTCAGATGACAGATACATCAAAAGCCCCGACTTTATCACTAGACAATATAGCCGTGTAACAAAATTGCACTTGTACCCCTTGAATTTATACATATTAAATAAATAAATAAATGTTCTTATGTAGTGGCAAGTGCCTATAGTCCCAGCTACTCAGGAGGCTGAGGTAGGTGGATTGTTTGAGCCTGAGTTGGAGGAACTAGGCAACATAAACCTTATCTCTAAAAATTAAATGATATTTTTAAAAAATGTCCTTATCACTGTTTTCCTTAGGTGTTATACACTATTTTAGGTGAAGGAAAGAGAAAAATGTGTTAAATATGCTTTACGACTAGATAAATTTTTGTTATATTACCATCAGTTGATTTTTTCAAAGCATACGTATGGCCTGAATGTGTGTTATTTTATTTTAAAATGTTACCTTTTAAAACTTTGGTTTCTAAATATGTATTTTTTTAATTTAAAATTATTTTTAGGAAGATCCATTTAATATAGACTCAAGTTCACTGACAGATTCAGTTGCAGATACAAACTTGGATTTTTTCCAGTCTGATCCTTTCATTGGCAGTAAGTACTCTTTTTTTATATTATAGATTTACCCAAAAAAGGCTTTTTAATATATAAACTAAGAATTAAGTCTTCTGTTTCAGTACCCTCCTGTCTCATTCTGTCACCCAGGCTGGAGTGCAGTGGCGTGATCTTGGCTCACTGCAACCTCCACTTCTTGGGTTCAAGTAATTCTTCTGTCTCAGCCTCCTGAAAAGCTGGGGCTATAGGTGTGCACCATTGCACTCAGCTAATTTTTGTATTTTTAGTAGAGACAGGGTTTCACCATGTTGGCCACACTGGTCTTGAACTCCTAACCTCAATTACCCACCTGCCTTGGCCTCCCAGAGTGCTGGGATTACAGGCATGAGCCACTATGCCTGGCCTGATAGCCTACTTTTTACAATAAAAGGTAGAGGTGAGAGTGAGGGTTTATATGCCTAGACTTGCTAGTATTTACCCTCCACAGGCAACTAAATTCTGAGACCAAGCCTTTGATTATGCCTTAGGATCCCCTCATTAAGAATGTGTTTCTTCTTTAGAATAAGGACCCCAAAACAAAACCCAAAAAAGTAACTGTTATAGACCAATAGAGAAGACTGGGCTTCTTTTTTTTTTTTTTTTTTTTTTTTTTAAGGCAGGGTCTCACCATGCTGGTCAGGCTGGTCTTGAACTCCTGACCTCAGGTGATCCGCAAGACTGGGCTGCTTAAGTCAGCCAGCAATTGTTTACTAAAAATGCCAACACAGTGCTTTTAAAACAGCAGAAGCTGTAGCAGAGTTGAAGTCAGATCCCTCCCCTTAAGATCCATACAGTCTTATTGAAGAAACATAAGTTTGATAAATTAAAATGTCTAATATTTATTTTATTTTATTTTATTTCCAAAATTAACTTCTGAAACTGATAGATCAATGTGTATCAGTTATAAAGATGAGAAACTAAGGCACACGGGCAAAATAATTTACTTAGGGTTGTGACAGAAATGAGCTCAGATATTATAATTCTTTTTTTAAAAAAGTTTTATTGGATAAAATGTTGAAAGATATATAAATTATATATTTGAAGTTTACAGTGTAATGATTTTAGTATATTCACAGAGTTTTGTAGTCATCACCACAATCTAATTCTAGAGCTTTTTCATCACCCCATAAAGAAACACCCCAAAGCAGCCACTTCCCATCCCTCCAGTCCCTATCTCTAAGCAATCACTGATTACTTTCTGTCTCTATAGATTTGGTTATTTGTGGAATTTTATAATATGTTCATACAAGAACATATGTGTAACATGTTCTTATATGTAATGTGTTCAAATTACATGTATATTCTCTTATGTATGCCCTCTTAATCTTTTACTTAACATAATATCTTCAAAGTTCACCCATGTTCTAGTATGTTTCAGTACTTCATTCCTTTTTACTGATAAATATTTCATTGGATGAATATATGTCACACTTATTTATTGGTTGATGGACATTTGGGTTGTTTGGACTCATGAAAAATGTTGCTGTGAACATTTGTGTACAAGCTTTTGTGTGAATATATGTTTTTATTTCTTCTCCATATATATCAAGTCATACGGTAACTGGAAGTTTCATTGGTACCTCTATGTTTAACTGGTTAAGGAACAGTCAGATTGTTTTTCAAAGAGACTGCATTGTTTACATTTCCAACAGTGTCATATGTGAGTTGCAATTTCTCTGTAGCTTCATCAACACTTGTTACTATCTTTTTGATTATAGCCATCTTAGTAGGTATGAAATGGTATCTTAATTGTGATTTTGATTTGTTTTTGTTTTTAAGACGGAGTCTTGCTCTATTCCCCAGGCTGAAGTGCAGTGGTGCAGTCTCAGCTCACTGCAACCGCAGCCTCTAGGGTTCAAGCGATTCTCCCGAGTCAGCCTCCCAAGTAGCTGAGACTGCAGTTGTGTGCCACCACTCCTGACTAATTTTTGTATGTTTCATAGAGATGGGGTTTTATCATGTTAGCCAGGATGGTCTTGATTTCCTGACCTCGTGATCCGCCCATCTCGGCCTCCCAAAGTGCTGGGATTACAGGCATGAACCACCGCACCTTGCCTGATTTGTATTTTGCTACTGACTAATGTTGAACATCTTTCTAGATGCTTATGGGACATTTGTATATCTTCTTTGGAAAAGTGTTTATTCAATTTTGGTGAAGTCCAGTTACTATTTTTTTCTTCTGTCACTTGTGCTTTTGGTGTAATCTAAGAAACTATTACCTAAGTTGCTAAGATTTAATGATCTCTTTGTCTAAGAGTTTTATAGTTTTGCTGTTACAGTTAGATCTTTGATCCATTTTGAGTTTATTTTTGTATATGATGTGAGATAGGGGTCAAGCTTTATTCTTTTGCCTGTGGATATCCACTTGTCCTAACACCATTTGTTGAAAAGGCTGTCCTTTCTCCATTGTGTGTTCTTGTCAAAAATCAAATGGCCAGAAATGTAAGGATTTATTTCTGGAGTCTTCAATCCTATAAGAATTTTTTTTTTTTTTTTGAGACGGAGTTTCGCTCTTGTTACCCAGGCTGGAGTGCAATGGCGCCATCTCGGCTCACCGCAACCTCCGCCTCCTGGGCTTAGGCAATTCTCCTGCCTCAGCCTCCTGAGTAGCTGGGATTACAGGCACGCGCCACCACGCCCAGCTAGTGTTTTGCATTTTTAGTAGAGATGGGGTTTCACCATGTTGACCAGGATTGTCTCGATCTCTCGACCTCTTGACCTCGTGATCCACCCGCCTCAGCCTCCCAAAGTGCTGGGATTACAGGCTTGAGCCACCGCGCCCGGCCGTAAGAATTTTTTGTTGTTGTTGTTGTTTCAGTAAAGCTTAGTATCTTTATTTCTAAACTGGTGATGTTAATGCCCTCCCAGTACTCTTGTGAAAAGTAGAGATTTTGTTAGTAACATTTTTGCTGTAATGCCTGTCTTCCCCTCCATCTGTAACCTCAACTTGTGATGAAGGTAAGTATAGTTGGCTGTATATTTCTTAAGGTCAATGACATTCATTATTTTATACTTTGAAGTGAAGTTATTGAAATAAACTTTGCTTTGCTTTTGTTTCAAAGTTGCCCTTTAAGTAATGGTGCCACCACAGTAAATATTGTTATTTTAATTTCTGTGTGTTTATTTTATCACAGATGATCCTTTCAAGGATGATCCTTTTGGAAAAATCGGTCAGTATCTTACTGAGTTCCATCTTAGCTTTAATTCACTTCTCCTTAATAATAAGCTTATGTTATTTAGGTTTGAAACTGAAGCCCTAGTAAAATGCTCTATGTGCCTGGCATTTTCAGAAAGAGAGTAGTAATTCTTGTGATTTTGCTTAATAAAATTGTTGCTTTACTTTTAGTTTTCCTGTTTTTGTTGTTGTTGTTTTGGTGGGGTTTTTTTTGTTGTTGTTGTTTGTTTTTTGTTTTTGAGACAGTGCCTCATTCTGTCACTGAAGCTGGAGTGCAGTGGTGTGTGATCATAGCTCCCTGAAGCCTTAATCTCCTGGGCTCAAGCAGTCCTCCTGCCTCAGCCTCCCAAGGTGCTGGGATTACAAGCATGAGCCACTGTGCCCAGTAGCTTTACTTTTTTGAAAATGACATTAGTGTTTAGACTTTTGTGCTTTTAATATTTATTCTGATTTCTCCTCATTAACTGAAGGTTAGATGAGCATAATGATCTATACTACTTCAGGTTTTAGAATGTAATTTTGTTTTCCTAAGATTATAGCCCACACATGTGATTGGTGGAAGAGGATCTTGAAGAATTACTAAAATATCAGGCTTTTTGAGATACTCTTTTTCTGGGAATTTTCATTAGAATAATGCAAATCTTATTTACCATTTAGTTTTGCGTTCCAAACCTGTTCTAAAGTATTGGCTATTAGCTTTGAGCTCAGAGAGAGAAATACGTTTAGGGGTTTTTGTTGTGTTTTCTTTAGGTATGATAACTTAGAATAAGGGGACTTAAGATTAGATCCCTTGAAATTATATATTAATTTAAAAAATAAGTTTATTAGGTGAAAGTTTCTGTGTCTTTTATCAGAATTGCAAAGGAATCTGTGAAATAAAAAGTATTCAGCTTAGATTTTACAGGATTTCTTTTTCTTTCTTTGTGTTTTGAGATGGAGTTTTGCTCTTGTTGCCCAGGCTGGAGTGCAGTGGTGCAGTCTTGGCTCACTGTAGCCTCTGACTCCCAGGTTGAAGCAATTCTCCTGCCTCAGCCTCCTGAGTAGCTGGAATTACCGGCGTGAGCCATTATACCTGGATAGTTTGTTTTGTATTTTTAGTAGAGACAAGGTTTATTCATCTTGGTCAGGCTGGTCTTGAACTCCTGACCTCAGGTGATCTGCCTGCCTCAGCCTCCCAAAGTGCTGTGATTACAGGCATGAGCCATTGTGCCCGGCCATCTCTTTGTAGTTTTTTTTTGAGACAGTCTTTTTTTTTTTTTTTTTTAAGTTGCATAGACAGTCTTGTTCCATTGCCCAGGCTAGAGTACAAGTAGTACGATCTCAACTCACTGCAACCTCTGCCTCCCATGCTCAAGTGATTATTCTCATGCCTCTGCCTCCTGAGTAGCCAGGATTACAGGCGCACGCCACCATGCCTGGCTGATTTTTATAGTTTTAGTGCAGACAGGGTTTCACCACATTAGCCAGACTGGTCTTAAACTCCTGAGCTCAAGTGGTTGGTCCACCTCAGCCTCCCAAAATGCTGGGATTACAGGTGTGAGCCATCATGCCTAGCCCAAACTTTTTGTTTGTTGATTTTTGTTTGTTTTTGAGACAGGGTCTTACTGTCACCCAGGCTGAAGTGCAGTGTTATGATCTTGGCTCACTGCAGCCTCTGCCTCCCAGGTTCAAGTAATTCTCCCATCTCAGCCTCCTGAGTAGTTGAAACTATAGGTGCACACCACCACACCTGGCTAATTTTTGTATTTTTTAGTAGAGAGGAGGTTTTGCCATGTTGGCCAGGCTGTTCTTGAACTCCTGACCTCAAGTGATCCGCCCGCCTCAGCCTCCCAAAGTGCTGGGATTACAGGCGTGAGCCACTGCACCTGGCCCCAAACTGTCTTTTAATTAAGGCAATGATTATACCTTCAAGTGATGAGAAATTTAGTGCAGTAATTTTTTTTGTCTTTTCTATTTATGCTCTATTTTTTCAGATCCATTTGGGGGTGATCCTTTCAAAGGTTCAGATCCATTTGCATCAGACTGTTTCTTCAGGCAATCTACTGATCCTTTTACCACGTCAAGCACTGACCCTTTCAGTGCAACCAACAATAATAGTATTACATCGGTAAGTGGGAGAATTAAAAACTGCTAAGTTAAATGGATAATAAGTGTCCTAAGCAAGTTTCTTGAAATACATAGTGATGAAAGAATCCTCATTTAGATACTTCTTATGGGCCATGTAAGAATTTTAGTCTCGGCTGGTCTGTACGTAGTGTTATCTCGATTGTTCACAGTCAGTTACAGATTGAACTCCTTGTTTCCTCTTTCCCTCCTTCTCACTACTGCACTTGGCTAGTCTTAAAACAACAGCAACAAAAAAGAATTTGAGTTTCATCCCAATTCATTTAGTTTTTGGTTCATATTGGTATTTCATATTTTGATCACCCACTGGAATTAACTAGAATTAACTGAACAGGTAAACTGATGTTCATCTTTCAGGAGACTAAATCTTATCCTATTGAGGATACTAAAAATGATGGGAATTTATAAGCCAATCTTACATAAAGTTTTTTTGAAATGTTTGGTGTATTATTGCAATAATGAAAATTACTTTAAAAGGAACTTTAGAAAAATAAAATCATTTATGTTATTTCATAGACACATCTGGAATGTTAGTTATATAAAGTACAAATTCCCACTAAATGTTAAGGTCTCTTGAGAATGTACATACTTAAAACAATCACTGTTTAATAATCACGTGGCTGATCCAGGTAATTCTGTATGCTTTACATTCATTGTTTCTAATCTTTATATTACCCTTGCAAAGTAGGTTTTGATATCCCTATTTTAAAAATAAGGACACTGAGATTTAGAAAATTTAACATGTTTAAAATCCTATAACTAAGTGCTTTTTTTATCTGGGGGCTTAAAAAAAATCTTTATATTGTGGATATTTACAGATGTCCAAAAGAGAATAATGAAGTATTTTTAACAAGCTTCCATGTATTCATTACCCAATTTCAATAATTGGGAATGGTTTTGCAGGTTTTTAGCTTTGCTTCTTAATTTGTATTTTTAGACTTTGTTTTGAGACGGCAGTTTCATGTCTGTAGGTAAACTGAATCTGTAAAGGACCAGTTAATTGAGAGGCGTTTGAAGCAACAAAATTTTTCTTCTAGTACTCTCAAATTAAGAATATTTCCTTTTAAAAGTAATTGATTGTTTTAAAAATAATAGGTTTATATTATTGAATATTGCTTCTTCTTTGTATTCAGTAAAGAGCTGCTTGGCTAAGAACTGGTGTTTTCCATTGAATGAGAACTGGACAGATACCTTTGTAACTGAATATTTGTGGTTTCCATGGGCTACTGGATACTCTGCTTTCCTATAGCACTTAGTTTACATTGTGGAACCATTTGCCAAATTCTTCTAAAATTGCTGCCACTGGAATTATTCTCCTCTCACCTTCTTATTCTAGCCTCTCATTCTCCATCATTTAAAGAGCAAGAAAGCTAAATCAGGAATTTAAAAATGAATACATTCCTCTTGTCCTCTCCCCTATGAGATTTTTCTACTATTTGTTTTACTGACTTTTTCTTTTCTTTTTCTTTCTTTCTTTCTTTTTTTTTTTTTTTTTTTTTGAGGCGAAGTCTCACTCTGTCACCGAGGCTGGAGTGTAATGGTGTGGTCTTAGCTTACTGCAACCCTCTGACTTCCAGATTCAAGCGATTTGCCTGCCTCAGCCTCCCGAGTAGCTGGGACTACAGGCGCATGCCACCACGCCTGGCTAATTTTTGTATTTTTAGTAGAAATGGGTTTCACTATGTTGGCCAGGCTGGTCTCAAACCTCTGACCTTGTGATTTTCTCACCATGGCCTCCCAAAGTCCTGGGATTACAGGCGTGAGCCACCACGCGTGGCCCTGAGTTTTTCTTTAGCGTTTTCTAAAGGAATATTGTCCTTGCTTGCAGCTTGTAAATTTAACCATTCAAAACAAAACAAAAAAACCAAACTGGCAATATAATAATAACTGCAGTTTATCTAATTTCCTCTTGTTCCAGGGATAGTGCCAATCTCCTTTATACGCAGTGTCTCATTTAATTTTCACAGTAATCCTGTGAGGTTTAGATAGGTTAAGTTGAGGTCAGGTGTGGTGGCTCCTACCTCTAATTCCAGCACTTGAGGAGGCCGGGGCAGAGGATCACTTGAGGCAGGTAGTTCAAGACCAGCCTGGGCCACAAAGCAAGACACTGTCTCTACAAAAAAATTAAAATATTAGTCAGATGTGATAGCATGAACTTATAGTCCCAGCTACTTGAGAGACTGAGGTGGGAGAATTGTATGAGCTCAGGAAATCAAGGAAGCAGTGAGCCATAATTGCACCATTCCAGTTTGGGTGACAGTGAGATCTTGTCTTAATTTTAAAAAAAATAGATTAAGTTGGTAGTAAATTAATAAGTGATAGAACTAGACTCAAACTCTTGTCTGTGTAACCAGAATCTAAGATTTTCACCGATACAGTCTAGAAATTTTTTTAAAATTGGCCCTGCTAAACTCCCCAATTACCAAACTGAATATAGCATAAAGACAGTTTTGTGGCCCCTTATTCCTTCATGGGTTGTACAATCTATCCTGTTCCCCTTGCTATCGCGATGGCCTTTTAGGGTGGTTGCACAGTGTATGAGGAAGGACTAGAAACCAAACATGACATACATGTAGTCATGCTTTTTCTCTTTCTCCTTGTGATGGCAAATCAAATCTGCAAGCTGTTGTTAAAAACACAGCCTGTTAGTTTTTCCTTCTCTCAAAAAGAAGAAGTAATAATACAGGTTGAGCACCCCCAATCCAAAATGCTCCAGTGAGCATTTCCTTTGAGTATCATGTCAGCCCTCAAAAGGTTTCAGACTTTGGAGCATTTCACATTTTCAGATTATGGATGTTCACTTGGTAAGTATAACACAAATATTACAAAATCCGAAAAAAAAGCCAACATCCAAAATACTTTTGATCCCAAACATTTCGGGTAAGGGATGCTCAACCTCTACTTGGTGACTTGTTATGTCAGTAATCTTCTCTCACACTGGTATTATGACTATCATATTAGGAAACATGGAAAGTTATTTCACTATGTAGATCAGTTTAATTTTTTAATTGCTGTTTATTCTGCAGATATCCAAGCTAGTGTGCTAGTTTTACAATAGTATAATTGGTGTTAGTTAATACTATCACTACATTTTATCATTCATAGTTTTCATTTCTAAAAATTTCATTAGTATTCTTTCTGCTAGTAATTTTAATGGATCCTCTTTTATAAAGAGAGAAGGTAAGTCCCAGTTAACATTACCTTTCTACAATTACATTTTTTTAATTTGGAAATTATACATTAAGCTCTGGCAGTATTATTTGACATTTATTTGTAATATCCAACTTTTTGATAATTGGAAATAGAGTCTATAATACAATGACATTGATAACCATGAGTCAAGAGTTGGATGTAAATGTTCAGAAACGCTTTTCACACTCTGTTCACCTGTTTGCCAAGTCTTTCAGCTAGCCTCTTAAAAAGAGCCTCCTGCCAAAAAGAGGAAATTCAGTTGTCTTCCTAAATATACAATTTATTTGATTATAACTAAAAACTAATAAATAAAGTAGGAAGACAGTTAAAAGCCATAATCTCTTGCAACTGGTAACATCCTCACTTTTACCAGTTGTTCTTGATCCCAGACTTTTACATAGCTTCTTATTGAAAGCAGCGGGATCTTTTTAGCAGAAAACTATCTTTGTGTATGTGTGCACGTGTGTGTGTGTGTATGTGTGTATATTTGTTTTCTTTCTGGGGGCAGAATGCAGAATTATTTTTAGATAACAATTAGAAAATGGAAATGTAACATTTTATTATATTAAGTACTCGGATATTTGAGAATTAAAATAGTGTGTGATTCTAAACACAAAATGATATTCTGGCATCAAAAAAGGACATTAATGGAAAAACTGGTGAAATCTAATAAAATCTATGGTTCATATTTTTGTACCAGTGTTCTAATAGGTGTACCATGATTATGTAAGATATTCCCATTAGGGGAAATTGGGTAAAGAGTGTATGGGTATATGGGAACTCTGTACTATCTTTATAACTCTTTTTCTCCCCCTCTTCCTCCCCCTCCTCCACCCTCCCCCTCCTCCCCCTTCCCTCCTCTTTCTTCTTTCTTCTTTCTTCTTCTCTCTCTTTCTCTCTCTCTTTTCTTTTTTTTAAGACAGAGTCTCTCTCTGTCGCCCAGGCTAGAGTGCAGTGGCACAATCTCAGCTCACTGCAACCTCCACCTCCCAGGTTCAAGCGATTCTCCTGTCTCAGCCTCCCTAGTAGCTGTGATTACAGGCACATGCTACCATGCCTGGCTAATTTTTTTATATTTTTAATAGAGACAGGGTTTCACCATGTTAGCCAGGATGGTCTTGATCTGACCTCATGATCCACCCACCTTGGGCCTCCCAAAGTGCTGGGAGCCACCCTGCCCAATATACAACTCTTATGTAAATCTAAATTATTCTGAGATAAAAGGTTAGTGGTGGCTCTCACCTAAAATCACAGTGCATTGGGAGGCCAACATGGGAGGACTTCTTGAGATCAGCATTTTGAGGGGAAAATAGCAAGACCCTATCTCTACAAATAGTAACAAAAATTGCCCAGGTGTGGTGGCATACACCTGTAGTCCCAGCTGTTCAGGAGGCTAAGGCAGGAGAGAGGCAGGAGGATAGCTTCAGCCCAGGAGTTTGAGGTTACAGTAAGCTGTGATCATACCACTGCATTCCAGCTGGGGTGACAGAGCAAGACCCTGTCTCCAAAAAAATAAAGTAAGTAAAAAGTTAAAACAGTGTACATTTGTACAACTAGCAAGATTATGAAGAAAAAAATAAATGAATATCACCAAAGTCAGGATTGTGAGTATAGAGGGGCACATGAAAACTTCTGAGGTATTGGCAGTTTCCTGGGAGATGACTGTGCAAGTGTTCACTTGATACTTGTTAAACCATAGATCTGTTTCATGTACTTTTCTGAATGGATGTTATATTTCACAGTTAAAGAAGATTAGAAAATAATATGTATTATTTCTATTTAGTAAGATTTCAGATCACTATGGGGAAACCTTTGTTCCTAATGTCTGTATTCCTTAATTAATTTAGAATTGTAAAGAATACATTCTTTGGAGTAGTGATAAGGTTTCAGCTATAAAGTGTTGCCTCTCTCATTCATGGCTTTGTATACTTTGTTTAGGTAGAAACATTGAAGCACAATGATCCTTTTGCTCCTGGTGGAACAGTTGTTGCAGCAAGCGATTCAGGTAAATAAATAATTTATCAACTTCATTGAATGTAAAACATTATTCTTTTCTTTAAGATTCTTTTTTCTTTCTCTCTAAATATATTTGTCCTGTTATTTATGGCTTTAAAATTATTGCATAATTATATCCAATTGTACTTTACCAATAATAAAAAGCATTTGTGTTTCACTTTCTACTTTTATCTTTCATTATTTTATTTATTGTTCATGTCGAATATTATACTAGAATATGTACTCTACCCAGTATCAGTAAAACCAATAAACATGTTTTGCTTTATAAAATACTGTGTTGCTGGGCAGCTTCAAAGTCAGCATTGGCTGTTATACATCTTGATCTAAATTAAGAGATTAGTGGCTTCCTATAGAAAATGAAAATTACTTTACAAATACAAGTGGGTTCTGTTAATAATACAGAGAAAAACTAAATGCTGCTTTAGCATCCAGTCTTCATACTTCATTTAGGGTATCTAATTTTTTATTTATTATTTTAATAACCTTTTAAAATAGTAATCTCATTTTAAACATAAAAAAAAAAATGAGAACCAAAACATTAAGCAGTGTTCATCAAGATCATACAGTTTAAAAGATTTGAAGCAGGTAAAGCCAAGATTCAATATTAGATCTGACAGAATCAAAAATCTTCTTCAACAAAGTAACTCTGCTTTTCCACTGTTCGTTTGAAAACAAAACAGATAAACAGACTAGCTGTTGTTTGGGAGAGCAGAAAATTAGAGGAAAATAAACTCAAATGTGTAAATACTCTAATATTATGCTGAAAATATATCACTTTATTTTTCCAGGTTGAGTTGTTCAGTATACAAATGTATTAATTGTGACTAATTAGGGATTATGAACATCGAAAAAGAATAGTAGAAATGCCTTTACAGGAGGCCAGCATGGTGGCTCACTCCTGTAATCCCAACATTTTGAGAGGCCAAGGCAGGTGGATCACTTAGTCAGGAGTTCAAGACCAGCCTGATCAACATAGCGAGACCCCATCTCTACTAAAAATACAAAAATTAGCTGTGCATGGTGGTGGATGCCTATAATCCCAGCTACTTGGGAGGCTGAGGCAGAAGAATTGCTTGAACCCAGGAGGTGGAGGTTGCAGTGAGCCAAGATTGTGCCATTACACTCTAGCCTGGGCAACAGAGTGAGACTCTGTCTCAAAAAAAGAAAAAAGAAAAAAAAAGCTTCTACAGATTTAGTTTCTTACAATGAACAAATTGTAACAAGATGAGATTTAGCAGAGTGCATTGTTTTCAGGTTGGAAATTAACTCCCAACATAGTAGCAAAAATGAGGAATTTAAAAAGGAGATACATAGAAAGTGAGATTTAATGTAGGCTGGATATTGATTTAAACAAAAACTTAGAATGAGAGCAAATGAGACATCTGAAAGACTTGTTGTATTAACAGTGGTTAAATTACATATTTTTAAAGTACCTGTGCTCTTTTTATAACCTCATTATTAAACTGATTATATTGCTAGGGGTATTATAGAATTAGAAAGGATAACCTAAGAGAATAAAATGAAAGGTTAATACATTTATAATTGCCCACACCAAGGAAATGGTAAATGCCATAAGAGTTAATTAAACCAGCAAAGATTTAAAGGAAGGGAAGATCACATTAAGGATAAATCATTAATGATACCAAAGTGGAATGTGGCTTTTGTGGTATTCCTTGAAAGCATGGGCTAGTATTTTAGCAGGTAAATATGGAAAGAGAGTATGTGAAGCAAAAAGAACAATGTGAACAAGGAATGGAAGCAGAACATATAAGGCATATTGAAGGATTTGCAAGAGCTAATTTTTGCAAGAGCTATTTCTCTATTTTTGCAAGATAGAGGAATAGCCAAGTTACATGGTGTTACATTAAAGGTTTCTAATACCTCTGTTGATCTTCTGCTTAAATTCTAGTTCCTAATTCATTTTCTCTAAAGAGGTGGAATAAATGACTGTAGTAGCTTAGAAGGGGGCTAAGACTTATCATTAGTTATAATAATAATGGCCACCATTTATTAAACACTTGCAGAGTTCCAACAGTCAGCATGCTAATCCTTTTTCTTTATTTGGTCCCGTTTAATTCTCACAACAACTACATTGGATAATTTGTGTTACGTTTACTGTATAGACAAGAAAAATCCAGGCATGAAGAGATGAAACTGTTTTCAGAAGGTTAAAGTAGTAGTATTAGATGTACCCAATTCAAATGAGGTCTCTGGTTTTCTACCTGCCTCTCTGGTCATTCTTTCTCAATCTCCTTTGCTGATACTTCCTATTTTTCTCAACCTCTTAATATTGTGTTGTTCCCAAGTCTTAGTCCTTGAACCTCTTTTCTTCCTTATCTGTACTCCCTTGGGGGAACTCATCTGGTTTTGTGGCTTCAAATGCTATCGATAAGCTGATCTTTATCTCTGGTCACATCTCTTTCCTGAACTCCAGGCTCATTTTTCCAATTATTTATTTGACATCTCCACTTGAATATCTGTTAGATATATCTAACACATAAATCTAACACAAAGCAGCTATTTTTCCTTCCTAAACCTGCTTTTCTTGGTACCTCCCATATCTTAGTTCATGGTTCATCTTTAATGTTGTCCAGATCTAAAATCTTGTAATCATCTTTGGTTCTTCTTTTGCTTTTCCTCTATCTCTAATCTATCAGGATATCTTATTGACTCTTCCTTCAAATTATATCCAGTAAAAGCCTTATGGTGGCCTGTACTTTTCTAATGATAACTCATCATTATTCCCATTACTCATTCTGCTCCAGGCACACTGGTCTTGCTGCTGCTCAAACGATAGTCCCATGTTCTTTGGTCTTTTTCACTAGCTGATCCCTCTTCCTGGGATGATCCTTCTCCATATGTCCACATGATAATCTCTGATACTTCCGACAAATCTTAATTCAGATGTCACCTTCTCAGTGAAGCTTATTCTGGCCACTCTAGCTGACATTTAAAAGTACCACTACCCAACTCAGCGCTCCCACATTACTGTTCTCTACTTTTCTTCTTTCATTATAACTTATTACTTTCCATCTTATTGTATAAATTACTTTATTTTTCTCTTATCTGTTTCCTTTTCATCCTATTAGAAATTAAGCTACAGAAGGAATTGGGACCTTTGTTTTCACTGATATAACCCAAGAACCTGAAAACATGCCTGGGCATATATTATTGAATGAACAAATAAGCCAGCTGCTCTTCTCAGAGAACATATAATGGGAGTCCAATGGGTAGATATTATTTATTTTGTTATAAGTAGTTTTTTAAAGTTGTGGTAAAATATATGTAACATAAAGTTTGGCATTTTAACCCTTTTTAAATGTACCGTTTAAGAGCAATAAGTACATTGACATTGTTGTGCAGTCATAACCACCATCCGTCTCAAGAACTTTTTCATATTCCAAAACTGAAATTCTGTGTCCATTAAATAATAACTCCCTATCCTCCCTCTCACCAAACCCTAACAACCATCATTACTACTCTGTGTACTTCATATAAGTGGAATCATAAAGAATTTGTCTTTTGGCGACTGACTTGTTTATTTACCATATGTCCTCAAGGTTCTTTCACATTGTAGAATGTATTTGAATTTTTTACCTTTTTCAGGCCTAATAATAATCTGTTGTATGTATATACTACTTTATTTGTTCATTCATTAATGGACAATTGGTTGCCTTTACATTTTGTCTATGTGAATAATGCTGCTGTGAATGTGAGAGTACAGATATCTTTTTGAGTCCCTGCTTTCAATTCTTTTGGATATAATTCTAAAAGTAGAATTCTGGATCATATGGTAATGCCGTTTTTAGTTTTTTGAGCAACGGGCTTGCTATTCTCCACAGCAGCCATGCCATTATATATTCCAGCCAGCAGTTCACAGTGGTTCCAATGTCTCTACATCTTTCCCAATCCTTACTACTTTCTGTTCTATTTAATAGGGATCCTCATGGGTGTGAAGTGGTATCTTATTGCTTTGATTTATATTTCCCTAATGATTAGTATGTTGAGCATTTTTTTCATGTGCTTATTGGCTATTTGTATATCTTCTATGGAGAAATGCCTATTCAAGTCCTCTGCCCATTTCTAAATCAGGTTTTTGTTTAATTTTTTAATATATTCTAGATATATTAACCTGCAAATCCCATGGGTTACCTTTTCATTCTGTTAATGCTGTTCATTGGTGAACAAAAGTTTTTAATTTTGAGGTAGCTCATTTTATCTATTGTGGTGGTGTTGCCTTTTAGTGTTTTAACCAAGAAAGCATTGCTAAATCCAATGTCAGGAAGCATTTTCCCTATAAGTTTTATAGTTTTAGCTCTTACATTTAGGTATTTAATCCATTTTGAGTTAATTTTTGTATATGATGTAAGAGTCCAGTTCATTCATTTGCATATGGATATTCAGTTTTCCTATCACCTTTTCTTATAAAGACGATCTTTCTCAATTGTTTCTTCTTGGCATGTTTGTTGAAAATTATTTGACCACATATGTGAAGATTTGTTTCTGGATTCTGGATTCTGTTCCATTGACCTATATGGTCTATATTTATGCAGTTTCTCACTGTTTTAACTACTATAGCTTTGAAATAAGATTTGAAATCAGAAAATTTGACTACTAACTTTGTTGTTCCTTTTTAAGACTGCTTTGGGCTGGGCACAGTGGCTCATGCATGTAATCTCAGTACTTTGGGAGGTCAAGGTGAGTGGATCACCTGAGCTCAGGAGTTGAAGACCAGCCTGGGCAGTGCCTGAGCTCAGTTCAAAACTAGCCTGGGCAACATAGTGAGACCCTGTTTCTACAGAACATAGAAAACTTAGCCGTGGAGTTGCAATTCTCATCTCTGATAAAGTAGACTTTAAACTAACAAAGATCAAAAGAGACAAAGAAGGACATTACATAATGGTAAAAGGATCAATGCAACAAGAAGAGTTAATGATCCTAAATATATACGCACCCAGTACAGGAGCACCCAGATTCATAAAGAGTTCT